AGATTCAGAAAATAATTTACAGGGTGATTTAAGTGATTTTCCATATCAGAAGCTTATAGGAAGGATGTATTTATCGGTGTTGACTAGGCCAGATATAACATTTGCAGTAAATCACTTGAGTCAATTCAACAATAATTATTCAGAATACCACTGGCAGTGTGTCAAAAGAATACTTAGGTATCTGAAAGGCACAAAGCATTTCAAATTAACATTTACGAAGGGAGGAAATTCTGATATTGTTGATTCTGATTTAGAGGGTTTTGTGGATACTGATTGGGGGTCTGTAAAGTAAATAGGAAGTCCTATACAAGCTATGTATTCAAACTATCTGGTGGTGCAATTTCCTGGAAAAGTAGCGAACAGAGAACAGTTGCACTGTCAAGTACGGAAGCCGAGTACATGGCCATCAGTGATGCTTCAAAAGAGGCCATTTACTTGCGTAACCTCATAAATGAAATTTGTGGGAAATTAGATTGTGTGACAAGTGACAATATGATAATCAAGGCGCTCTGAAGCTATGCAATAATCCAGTTTTCCATGAACGTTCAAAACACATTGATATCAGACATCATTTCATTCGAGAAGCTATACAGAATGGAATTATAAATGTTGACTATCTAAGCACGAATGAGATGACATTTTCACAAAGTGTTTGGGAAGAACTAAGCATGTTTATTTTTTGACAGGTTTAGGTTTAAAAAGTTTTTAATAAGTGGGGAAGTTGGAATTTAGGTATATTAAAATGTTTTTAAATAGTACCTACCAACTCCATCTATGTTCATTATAAGTATTTGTTTATTTGTAGAATTTGTACCAACTACCTCATAGGTTACCACTGTTATGTTTGTGTCAAAATATTACTAAATATGTTGGTAACCAAAGTTAAAAAAGAAAACCTTGGCAGACGGTCGCATTCAAATCGCAGACGGGTTTAAATAGTTCAGTAAATGCGTGTTTAAAACTGCGGTTTTCGTAACAAAACTGCGAATTTTTTTTTCAACGGTTTGATATGTTTTCGAGGGTGCTGAAACCGAATTTATCGTTTGCTGCCTTGTCGGGTTCATAGCCAAAAACGCAAAAAATCAGAATTTTTAACTTTTTTCAGTTTTTGGTTTATATCTCAAAAACTATACGTTTTTTGAACATGAGCGTTCACTACAAAATTGAAGAAAATAAAATTTCGTAGAAAATGCATCAATCGTCTTTAATTTTATGATAAGCGGTCTCCGCGCTAGTGCTCAGTGAAAAACAATGTTTTTTTTTTTGTATTTTCACAAAAACGTCTAAAACAACCACTTTCATCCCCTCAACCCAAAAAACATAAGATGTTAATAGACCCTTATATCACGTGCGAGTACCTACATTAAATACCTATCATAAAATAGATGTCTGCCATATTTAATTTTCTCATAAAGATTTCTATGAGAACCATTTTCTAAATAACTTAGATGGCAAGCCATGTTTGATGAAAACATTAAGAAATGATATTTATAACTCATTAGGTAAGTACCTAGTTACATTAACCTGAAAATGAAGCTAACGAAATGATTGAAATACGTGCACAGGATCATCATTTCTTTGAGTGGGTCCTCCATTTGAAAAACAAAATGCGGCATTTTAAGTTAGGTAAAAGGTTTTGGACAATCGAAGGTCCGCACAAAGAGTCAGTTGTGGAAGGTCCAGGCTGAATAATAAATTGTGGCTGTTCTTCCACTGAAAAAATATTACCTACATTGAGAAGTGTAGTACTAAAAAAAAAAACTAAGCGAAAATGCAGGTAATGATGCAAAATATTATCATCGCCAGCAATAACCTTTGAGGAAGTTGATGGCGTTTTTTTGACATAATAATTGACAGCGTCTGCTCCGAAATACTCGAAATAGTGATCACTTCCAACGGCAGACCCCTAGTATTTCAATTTAGTTAAGATCCTACGCGATTTTCAGGTACTCCAATTCACTTTTCTGGATTCAAGTAGTTTCCTATCCACTGCTGTACCTACCTGATGGAAAAACCCTAAGGGCTTGTTGTTGAGCGGCAGCTTCAGGGGAAGGTGAGAAACTACTTGGATCCAGAAAAGTGGTGTTGGAAGTTGACAAGAAATGGGTTGTTCCCCATTACCACACCAAAACCCCCGGCTCCCGAAAAACTTCTCCAGCTTATATCTTGCAAACGCAAGGCAGGTTGCCTAGGTCAATGTGGGTCTAAGCGGACAGGACTGTTCTGCTCCCCTCCAATATCGACGATAGTTATGATGCAGAAGGCGAACGCGATCTGGATGAGCCAATTCCAGTCTCACTGCCTGAAGCGGCTGAAGAGACAGAAGGTATTAATTTACATAATATTTTGCATCATTACATGGCGCTTAGTTTTCTCTAGTTCTCAATGTAGGTAATATTTTTTTAATTGAAAGAACAGCCACAATTTAGTATATTCAGCCTGGACATTCCAAAGCTGCTGACTCTTTGTCCGGACCTTCGATTGCTTAAAACTCTTTACCTGGACCTTCTAGCGCATGACCCAAAACTAAACCTATAATATACTCATCTTCTGCCCTATTTTGTTTTTCAGATGGAGGACCCACTCAAAGGAATGATGATCCTGTTCAAGTATTTCAGTCATTTCGTTAGCTTTATTTTCAGTTTAATGTAACTACTGAATAAGTTGTAAATATAATTTCTCAATGTTTTCATCAAACATGGCTTGCCATGTAACTTATTTGAAAAATGGTTCTCATAAAAATCTTTATGAGAAAATTACATATAGCAGGACATCTTTTTTGTGATATTAAATGTACTCTTACGTGATAAAAGGGTCTATTAACATATTATATTTCTTGTGTTGCAGGGGATGAAAGTGGATGTTTTAGACATTTTTGTGAAAATACAAAAAACAAACATTGTTTTTCACTGAGCACTAGCGCGGAGACTGCTTATAATAAAACCAAAGGCGACTAGTTTTTGTATTTTGTAGGAAATTTAATTTACTTCAATTTTGTAGTGGATGCTGATCTTCAAAAAACATATAGTGTTTGAGATATAAGCCAAAAACTGAAAAAAGTGCTGAAAAATTCAGATTTTTTGCGTTTTTGGCTCTGAATCCGACCTCCTACAACGCAGCAAACCATAAATTCGGTTTCAGCGCCCTCGAAAACATATAAAATTGTTGAAAAAAAAAAATCGCAGCTTTGTTACGAAAACGGCAGTTTTAAACACGCATTTACTGGACTATATAAACCCGTCTGCGATTTGAATGCGACCGTCTGCCAGGGTTTTCTGTTTCAACTTTGGTTAGTAACATATTTAGTAATATTTTGACACAAAAATGACAGTGGTAACCTATGAGGCAGTTGGCGGCGTTTTTTTGACTTTTCAGAAAAAATTAAATCTAATAAAGCGACCACTTACGCCCGGCAGACGGACGGTTTTGAAATCACCATGTGAGGTAGTACCGACATGTCAATTCAACCCTTTGGTAATTTATGAGGTAGTTGTTTTTACTGCCAGCTCTCGGACTATTATTGTAATTGTGTAAAATTAATTATTAATTCATGGAATTTTTGATTTGGTGATTTGAATATTCCTTCATCCATTTTTATGTGTTACGAGAAACTCAAATTTCCACATAACTAATTAACGTGCAATTTTGAGAAGCCCGCAAATAAATGTGTTCTATTCCAAGAACCTGAAAAGCAGTAATGTGTGACTAATCGGCGAGATGTTACACATTAAAATTAAATTGTTTACAACCCCGCCTGAAATCCACGAACATTTAATAAACTCATTTTATGCAAAGAAGATAAAAACATGAATATTAATTACTTTTGTTTCCGATAACTGGACAGCGTGACTGATGTTTCGTCAATGAGTGCACCAGCTAAAAATAGATACGCTATTTCCTTATACAGACCAACCAAACGATTATCATCTATCTAAAATTAGCCTTTCACTGATGATCTGGCGTTAATGTACTGAAACTCGTTTAATCTAATTATTGCTGAATAAACGGAAAACCTTGTGTGATCATATACGTAGACAGACCCTGAATTTTAATGCTAGGGAATAAAAATGCCTGGCCTCTGACCTATAAACATGTTGATTAGTGTATGGAATTTGCAGTTTTATTTAGATCATGGTACATTACAAAAATAGTTTAATTTTTGATATTTTCAGATCATATTTCCTGGCGAATTTTTTTGGTCACCCTATCAAAGGACTATCCACGGCGCGTGAAGGATCAAAAATTGAATTTTCATTAAAGTATAAGCTAAAAATATTCAAAAATAGATTTTTTAGTTATAAAATTTTCAATTGCAATACTTCTCACAAGGCAAAAATACAATAGTTTTGGTGAAATGTTCCCTTGTATATTTTTGTTTTGTTTAAAAAAAAAACTGTGACTTAAGTTACAAAGTGCGCTTCCAAAGCTTATCAATCAGAAGGCTGATAGTGATAGACTGATATGTTCTTCCTAGAATGTAAAACTATTGTCAAAATTTGTTGGATAGGGCCGGACTGACAGGCTCTCGCTGAAACATAGCATCCACCTTCGTTGAAGAAAAGTTGCTTTTACCTGAAATTTAGCGAATATGGTCAACTGTCAAATAATTTGGGATTCACGAGCATTTTTCAAGAAAGAAATAATAAAGAATTACCAGATTACTCACCCTAACATATCAATGCATCCATGACTGGTACATTGTAAGACACAATAATTCTGTCTTGGTGCCAGCCATAGGAAAACCATGGAAAATTGGTACCGAAGACGACGAATGTAAGAAGATGACGAAGATGAGACGTACAAAATGATGCTTGAGATGCAAGCTATCCTTGACACTCAACCCAACCTTGGTTTCGACCCTTATGATCGTGATGATTCTGTACATAAAACTGATGCCCAATATGTTCAAGTAAGATTCATGATAGTTTTATCAAAAAATGAAGTCGCACTCGTGTCATTATTTCCAGGTCATCCATACAAATAGCAAAATTTATGGAATGTCAGAAGTCGTTGGACCGTTTGGGAGCTCCTAAAGAGTAACCAACAATAGTAACTCGTCTTAAAGAATACCCAAACTCTTTAGATATGACGTGATCAAGTAATGCAGCAGCCCGCCTTTCTACGTATGGTACATCCCTTCTTGCAAAAGTATAACTGAAATATTATTTACTCAATACATATACTGCTGAGTTATTGTTTAAAAATAGACTTACAGACCCCCAGATAATGGGTTCCAATCTACCATAATGATATTAACATCAAGTCTCGATAGAATAGCATCTTTGATGTAATGGTTGGAGTCGGTTGTATAGTTTTCCTTATAACCATGAACTATGTAGGAGATAAACGAGATGATTTTGGACACGGAGCTCCAGCGAGCAGACTCTTCACTTCAAAGAAAGCGCAAAAAACTGCAAGCCCTCAGAAGGAAAACTTTGACGTACGGAGAGTCAGCGGTGAAGAGGAAATGGAATTAGATGCCCTGGAAGAGGCAATCCAGTACGTTTTTACGATAAATTTATCATTTTCGTAATATGTTCCATTTCTTGTTATTTTTTATTATAAAGTTTTATTTTCGCCATTTCAGAATCAGCAAAATAATAATTCATAATTCAAGTAATTTGAAAAGTATCTACTAAATTTAATAAATTCAATATAATACCAGTATTGCCATCATAAATAAGATGAGCATAAAAGTTCAAATATCTGTTATTAAGAGAAGGTACCGCCATCTAGTACCTAATAAATTTATTTTTGAATTGTGATGGGTTTCTTTAACTATTTTTATGATTCCTCAAGAAATTATGTTTATCTTGCTTTCAGCAAATAAGTATAATTCTGTCTTTCTCTAACTTCTGATTTTGAAATGATTATTTTTAACTCGATGACCTAATTAATTAATGGTTTTGTGTTTCTAACATAACCTTAAATTTAAATCATTATAATTTGTAAACAATAAGAATGATTCTAGTGTGTTTTTATCTATTCCCATTTAATCAGCGTGGTATTTCATTAATGAAATGAGCACGGTCTTTTGTGCGTGTTTGAATGATGTCTTTTGATTGGTTCAATGGTATCAAGTATCAGAAAAACACGAGACTAGTTTTCTCCAAGGAAATTGGGTTCTAAAAAGGTCTCTTTTTTTTGCAGACCGCTAAACAGGCATGTCAATTTTGATTTTTGTAATGTTTTTTTCCTCTTCAGATCTCTAAATTTTCCCTTAATACTTTTCAATTTATTTCACCATCAGTGTCTATTAGCACTGTTGGGTTTTTATTACCTGATATCTTATCTTATCTACCTTTAAAATATAAATATTGTATTTAAATTTTTTATCCATTGTGATGTAGTGCCACGTTTTTCTGAAGACAGTCAATTCAGAGTTTTGGCAAATAAATAGGCTGCTTTGGTTTTCGGAATCAACTGTTAGTGTGAGAATATTGGACCATTTGCTCTAATCGGTGCAAATCAAATCTGTGTGTTCATCCCTATCAACACTTTGCCGAATCCAGGCAGAGGCCTGTATAGCCATTCATTGTTTGACTCCCTCATTATCTTTTCGAGGAAAGAGAGTGCTGTAAGGTGAAATTTTAAGATAGAAATACGGATAGGTTAAAATTCATTTAAAAAGTTTCAATTAAAACATCTCAAGAATTTTTATAATTCCTGGACTTAATTTATTTCACCCCCTCAGCTTTATCTTGTAGTACCAATAGGTACCTTAACTTAAAGTTTATCTATTTAGGGAAAATCTAGAGATTAATTTTTTTTTAATCTTGTTCAATTTGTCATACATTCTCTTTTTTAATTTTTACCTGTTCACCGCGTCTGCACGAGAAGCAGCATTCTGCTCAATTATAACAAGCATCTATTTTTATTTATTCTTGCTGTACTTACCTACTTTATTGCTACTTTATTTTACATATTTTATTTCTTTTGATTTATTCCATTTTTTATTTATAAAAATATTATTTCAATTTGGAATAGTTGCTCATACCTGATTCTGTTGGAAAGGAGTGTCTGCACAACAATAGTTTTATATTTAATTTCATTTCAAATTTTCTCTGCAAGATACTGACTTTTTAACAGAATTCAGGAGTTTAATATTTCAAAATTTGGTGAACCTGATACTGTAAATTCTTTTCTGGGTACCTATTCCTCAAGATCATCATTTGGAGTCTAGATCAGGCTGGAGTGACGTCACACCAGCAATCTATCCTCGTTCCTGAATATAGGAAACAACCCGAAAAGCTTGAGTTCACGGAATTGAAACCCCAACATCCATTGAAGAGCTCCGGATTGGAAAGGTACATATACTGTATCAGATTCACCAGAACAATCAAACTGTTAACTGTCAAATTGTAAAAAGTAACTTGTTACTTACTCTCGAAACATTAGAGTTTGATGTTATCATGGGAACACTACAAGCATGCCGCGTTGATTATCGGTATACAAAGTTGATACACAATATATGTATTGAAGAATGCGACCATGACGGTGAAACTGCAAGAAAACACGACAAGGCGATACGCTATCACCCAAACTGTTCACCACACTACTGGAATATATATGTAGGAGACTGAATTGGTATAAGAGAGAGGTCTAAATATAAACGAGAGGAGATTAACAAATTTGAAGTTTGCAGACGACATAGTTTTGTTCTCCGACAATCCTAGGGAAATGGATATCATTCTGCAGGACCTTCACCAAATGTGTGCCAGCGTGGGGCTAAAAAATCAACATAACAAAAATAAAATACATGACGAACATGGTTCCTAGTAGCAACATTTATATTGATGATAACGAGGTAGAGCTTGTGGAAAAGTACACATACATTGGTCACAAAATAAAGATCTCAAGAGACTATCAAACCATGCGTGCTAAAGAGAAGAATGAATCTCGCATTGGCCTTCTATGGCAAACTCAAACTCAACTTCAAAAGTAACCTGCCAATCTGTTCAAAACGCAAATGAGTATTACAAGTTATGACGTATGGTGCCGAAACCTAGACCTTGATAGCTACAACTTCTTTGCCACAAATGACACAGAGAAAAATGGTGTATCGCTGCGTGATTGAGTTAAAAATGAGGATCTGAGACGAAGAACAGGAGTTAACGATGTGATTTCCCGAATTACCAGACTCAAATGGAACTGGGCTGGGCACTTAGGCTGAACCAGGGACGAAAGATACACAAAAAGGCTGCTCGAATGGAGACCAATAACGGATGAGGAAAGTAGAGGAAGACCCGATGGACCGATGATATAAAAATAAATACAACTAATTGGAAACAGAGCGCACAATGGACAAAAATTAGGGAGGCCGATGGTGGACGCAAAGGGCTGGATGATGATGACTGCTAATGTAAAGGACAAACGACAGTGAAGATGTTCTCTATTGCTGAAAAGATTCCGGTTTCGTAAAAATGTAAATCCTATTTTCGCAAATAAGATCTGACAACAGAAAATATCGGTAATAAGTCCATTGAGAGGAATCACTTTGTGATTGAGTATCTGGATGCTGGTTCCAGATTAGGGAAGTCCAATCTAAGCCCAGTTGACTATTCAATATGGGGAGGCGGTGACTTTCATGATGACCAACGAAGTACCACCTTTGAGCTAAAGAAAAGGATACAGTTACAGTATTGAAAAGATTATTTTCACCAGGATATAATTGAACTTATCGCTGTAGGGAATTACAGAGACCATATTCTGAATAATTGCTCTATCACCATTCCATACTCTTCGAATTATTATACAATATCATAATAATAAGAGGCTTTTGTGATTACATACCCAATTCGAACTTCTTTGCCGTTCTTTATTGTAATGTTCATACATGGTTTTTCAACTACAGCATTTCTTCTATCCACATAATGCCATAAGCAGTTGCGCAGTTTTGAATTACCCACATAAGTTGATTATCACAGTTTGATTCTATTCGTGACCTTTGTGTGATGCCGTCTCTGTTCGGCTTCTATTTAAATAAACTAAACTCATTTAAGCACTTTCGGGTCGTGTACTTACAGCTGAAAACCGTTTCTAATGAGCTTTTTAGCTTTTGTCTATCGAAATTATGTATTAAATAATTATTGAGACGAATCTTGTCGATGTTTTTTGTGTGAGCAGGGATTTTACTGGAACGTCTAGGGATAGAACTGCCCACATCAATACAATGCCTATAATTATAGGCATGCGAATTCAGAAATATGCAATTATTATTTTCTTGGAAATTTTTGAGATCCGGATTATTATTAGCCCTAAGAAAGAAAATGACAAAATAAAAATAATCGATCAAGGTGTGAAAATAATAATACCGATATTACTCTTAGTTTTGTGCCATCCTATATAGTAGCGATTTCAATTATTGCAAACATCTTAAGGCAATAAACAGCTATATATGTCTCAATCGTTAAATTATATAGCATTATTTCTTCTTCTTCTAAATCATTGAGGAATTTGTTTAAAGTGTGACGACCTCTTTCAAATACATACATTAAAATCATGTTGTAAATAATGTTAAGCTGTTCTTATTCATTACTTAAGAAGTCCACAACGTGCTTTATCGAAGCTTACGCTATTATGATTTCATTTCTCACATTATTGCAGCTACTACGTTTTATATGGGCAGACAAATTTTTAGTATATTCAACAAATTAATTAACCTACTTTCCAGTCACATCATCTCTCTCCACGTCACTTATCATCATATCATCAAATAATTGCACGATTACTCATCGTTATTGAAAAAAAAAAATTGCCAAACCATATTGAGACATGAGTCTGACTGAACGGGTTTACCTACATTTCGAACATTTACGTCTGGTTAATTTATGAATTATTTATACCAATTTGTTGCTAAGACCAGAAAATATTTTTTTCCATCGAAATATTTTTTTAGAAATTCAATACCAAATGTTTATATCAATTTGACTCAACCTTATAGGGACATAAATCATAAGGAAGACGAGTCACTTTTTCTTTGTCCATTTTTAGTAAAATTACTCATGCACTGTTAGCTACGTCAATACCTACTTCTTCCGCGAATCTGTAATTTTCATTAACGTCCGATGATGTTTTTTTTTCTGTCCGACTCTGATATCTTTATTCAAATTTTTATGCAACGGAAATATAAATTAGGCCAAATTTATATAAATCTGTGCTCACTTTCATCTTAGAAAGTGTCAATTCGGATCTGTTTAAAATTCAGTACATTAAATTGGGTTCCATTGTCAGATGCGAATACAGAAAATCTCCAAGGGGTGACTCACTTTTTTGGGATCAGCTCAAACTTGGGTTAATTCTAGAAAAGTGACACCC